AATATTATAGACGTATGTACATAGTACACGTTTGCATTTTGTTTGAATACTTGAAGAATAGCTTTGTTTTTTTTTTTTACTGAAACAAAGGTCGCCCGCCACATCGTGAGTAAGTGTACAATGTGGCACTCACGTCGATCCAGTCTTAAGTCCCAGGTCTCCGTGCAGCCAAAAGTGGCAGGCCGTATGGGGCGACATCGGACAATGTGGCATGCACAAACGCCCACCGGGTCAAGTACAGGAAGACATGCGGACACATATCCATGCTTTAGGATAGATGGCGCGCCGCAGTGGCCAGAAGCTTACAATGTGGCACCCACCCCAACATGGGCTCGGGCACAGTTCTCCTTTGAGCCGAAAGTCGAGTACAACATTGAGCAAAAGGGGCTTCGGACGGAAGAAGCAAAACTGGAAAAAGAAAAAAGGAAAAATAAAATAAAATAAAAGAAGCAAGCAGCTCATCGGCCTCTATACAAGGGCAACGACTCTCTTTAGACGCGGATGACCGTCGTTCAAACATTTGAGGAGGGGTGAGGAGCCAGAAGGTGGGGGAAACCTTTGGAACAAAGGGTCGAATCTCAACAGATCGTGACGACAAGGCCACTCTACTGCTTACAACACCCCGTTCCCTGTCTAAGTCGTTTGCAAACGGTTTGACTCCCCGAGCGAAAGAAATTGCGATGAAGAGACCCCCAGGACGTCGGTGCTCCACCGCACGACGGACAACTCCGAACTTATGCTTTCCGGGCCAGACCGGCTGGCCCTATCGACAGCSTTGTGTCATCCGAGGAGGCATACGTCGTCGCTGCAAGCACAGATTCTGACCTATAGGCGTTCAGTCATAATCCCACGCACGGTAGCTTTGCACCGCTGGCTTTTCAGCCAAGCACAATTGCCAATTGTGCGAACCAACGGTTCCTCTCGTACTGGGTTGCATTACCATTGCGAAGGCGGTGCATCAGTAGGGTAAAACTAACCTGTCTCACGACGGTCTAAACCCAGCTCACGTTCCCTGTTGGTGGGTGAACATTGCAGGGCTAAACTCAAATTTCTCTGGGTTTCGCAAGTGCCGCTCCCTTGGCAGCGTCCGTTCCCAGTGGGTTCAACAGCGAACTGGAGGCTGGGTAGGACTCTCCTAGGCGGGAGTTCCGTTAGAGAAATTTAGCCGTTTCTTATACTAGACTGATTAGCCCTCCCATTCGATGTCGTCGTCCCAATGATAACCGCTCCAGTATGAGATTTGTCGTACCACCATTCTTAGGTCCTTTTATGTAGACCCCGACCTTTTTACCCCCTTTTTCAAGGAGGCAGGTTGGCTCGTGGTCGTTTCAAGCCTAACCCTTTCAGCATAACGCCCCTCTCATGGTTGAGAGAGTCCGTGTGTTTTTGCAACAAGGGGTATCGGTTGGACTGATGTTCCGCACGAGTGATGGGCACACATCTCACTCTCCTCGAGGCTTCAAGGGGTCCCACCGACACTACCGGGGGGATGCCGCTCTGACTCCCGATTCCCTCGTTAAAGGGTCTCTGATTCCTTTGCAACATTGCCCCTTCCAATTCTAACACCGCTTGCTCCATTTCCCTTTACTGGTTCTTCTTTGCTCCCCTTATTGCTTCCTCCCTTCCCAATTCCTGGGTTCGTTTTTTCCTTGTTGGTTTTCCCGTTCCATGGATGTATTTCCTCGGGTCTCCCACTCTCTGAGGTTGGTTTCCTCCTTATTTGCACCTAAGGAGGGTCGTGATCCATTTTACCGAGGTAGCCTTCAAGATTTCTGC